TATGTAATGAACGGTGAGTTTCCATTAGCAACTGGTGGTCTGCGGAAAGGTTTGCATTGCTCCAGGTAGTCCATGGGGTGCATGGTGGAGAGAGCCCCTCCCCACCTCCCAGGAGAGTGGCACAGTCCAGAGCAGGAGGGTTAAATCTTGGCACGCCACTTCGGAAAAGTTGCCGACCCCTGGTCTAGACAATACCTAGTCCAACCTCTGTACATGGGACTGGACTAAATGACCTATTTAAGGACTCTTCTAATTCTACATGTCTAGGATTCTATGACCTTTCCCAGCATTGCTGAGAACTCTGTCTAAGAGCAGAGTTACTTAGACAATGCACGAGTAGTCACTGGTATTTTCAACACTAGGAAACATAGGCTTGCTCTGAGAAGGGGTAAATGGTGCAGGGCCAGATCCTCCGCTTATGAAAGTCAGCAGAGCTCCTTCGGACTTCAGTGGTGCAACCTTGATTTAGTCTATCTCAGGATCCCGTCCAGAATTCCAATGTACATAACCTACTGGGAGGCAGAAGTTATTGTACACCCTTCTGATCTTGAAAGAGAAACCGGAAACTCCAGTAATCAAGTACAAGTCTGATACATTCTCTCAAAATATGAGGCATGGCTTTTCCCCTCTTAGAATAAAGCCCGGGCTTTTCACCCAAATAAAGCTTACTACTAACAGGTAGGATTTTATCTGTGCAGAGATATCACACAATCCTTTTGCTTCAGCAATGAAATCCATCCTCAAGCAACTCTAGAAATTTCCTTGCGTAAGAGCAGATGTTTTCAATTAACTGTTGTAGCTTAGGATCCTTGCAAACAATACACTTTAGAGTGATTTAAACCACAGACTATAGCTGGTATTCCGTTACAGTACAAGAGTTTATAGAAATGCTTGAAAATGTGGGCTATAATGTCTATGTTGTATATGTGATGGGGCACATTTGCCCCCACACTGGGCTCTCAGGAGTCTATAGAGTCTTAGGGAGGCTGCTCAGGAGGCAGCCAATCACAGAAGGGCTTATAGGAGAAGGATAAAGGGAGGATAAAGGCAGCTCCTGGCAAGTTGCAGGGAATTTGCAGGCTGAGACAAGGGCAAAGAGTGCTGGGGCTACAGGGAAATGGCCCAGGGAGATCTTCAGAGGAGTTGGTGGGACACAGCAAGTGTTGGCTATCTACAGAGTCCCAGAACTGGAACATGGGGTAGTGGATGGGCACAGCTCCAAACCCACTTTCCAATGAGAAAGTCCCTGGACCAAGGAACTGCAATATTGCAATACTGAACGGAAAGGGGCACAGCCAGAGAGCTGTGTCATAAAGAGGATGTGGAAAGGGGGAACATGGAGTGTGGCACAGCCAGAGAGCTGTGTCATAAAGAGGATGGTTCCCAGAGCAGAAGTGATCACCAGAAGAGCGTGCACTGGCATACAGAGTTGATCCCCATGACATCCAGCAGGGGATGCTGCAGTGGTGAGTCCACCTGATGACAGTATGTTGCATCCTCTATAAACTATGGGAGGTTATTTTAAATTCAAGCATGACTAGTGATATTGGGTGCTCCACCTGAGACACTTCAAAGGAGCCTGATTTCCAGAGGGTTTTTATCAGCACTTTTAAGGAGTTTCTGGTTGGGCACACAAATCACAAGACATTTTTGAACATTTCAGATTATGTACCATTGACTATTAATACACAAAGATTGAACGGTGGGGGAATACTCTAATGGCATAATTTTTTCTTAACTATCCTCAGCTGGTCAACTTTACCTGCTGATAGAAATTTCTGAACTAACATAGGAAATAGATTAAATCAGTGATCCTTGTATTTCATGCCTCATCAAAAAGTTGGGTGGAAAGGTTTATGAACAGAAGTGCATCCAAGGATTCATATTCTGTCCCTAGCCTCCTTACCCTCAAAACAGATGACACTGGTTGATACTAAACTAGAGAGGAAATGGACAAACGGAGTAGCTCGGTATTAGTTACTGGTGCACCAAGCAACCTGTCACTACACATCCCGTGCCACAAGCGTTACAGATCTCAAATGAAATCAGGTCAGGTTGGATCAGCAACTGGATTGCTCTTTGCGGGTATACTTTAGTTTTCTCTTTCAGGATTTCCTTTTTGACAGATATCCTTTATTTCACTATGAATGATCATGTGACATTTAAAGAGCTGACTTATCTCAGAGCTACAAAGGGGCCAGGCCAACATTTAGATTGTATGTAAATAAAATTTGTATCCAAAACTATCAGCAAACCCAACAGAAACTCTGTGTGGGAGGGAGGAGGAGGAGGAGGAAAAGAGGTTAAAATTCAACCAAACAGCTCTTAAACAAGATTCCCTTGCAATCTTGGCAACACACAAAATGCAGTGCAGACATATCTGAGTTGGTTAAATTCATTTTCATTGTCTGAGCCCAGAAATAGCAGTGAAACAATGAATTTAACCAGTGAAAGATCAACTGCACTGGAAAATACCCTAGTTTTAATAATCCACCATTGCAACCGTCATTAGCCTAAAGAGAAGACACAGGGCTGTGTGGTTATGCTGCAAGTCTAACCTTCTGGAGACTGGGGTTCAAGTCCCAGTTCTTCTACAGACTTTGTGGGTGACCCTGAAAAAACTGTTTCCTCTCTTTATGCCTCAGTCCTTGCCTGTAAAAATAATACTTTGCCTGGCTTGTGGAGTAGGCATTGTCTCTGACTATGCAGATATACAGTGCTGAGCACACTAAGGCTCTTATCTCCATTGGGGCCTCTTGGTTCTAATGTAATAAAATCATATTGTAAACAAGTTACTGGCCTTAAGGGGCAATTGATCTTAAAAGCTTAAACAGGTCCCTAATGTTCCTCATTGCTCACTTGATGCTCTATTTCCCAAATGGGACAAGTCAGCTGTCTCTCAACACCTTTCAGCTTTTAATACAACAATAAACACTAATAATACCCTTGTGAACACCTCCGTCACACCAACACCACATTTCTCCCAGGTCTGGCTAAAGATAGCAATGCTGAGTGCTTCGTGCCAGAGTGTGGAGTGCTATGGGAAGAGAAGGGGCTGAAAGGAACAACGGCACAGTGCACAAAATCTGACACCACTGGGACGGCAGCTTGGAAAGGAAGTTTTATTTGAACTCAGCGTGTAAACTTTCAAGTGAGCCTCAATCTGTTTTTCCAGCTGAGTTACAGAGCAAGAATTGTTTTGAGACATTGGCCTCCGATCCCTTCACCTCTCTTGCCCTCCTGTCCAATGGAAAGTAGGAGTTACAAGAGGGCTCTGACAGCAGTCTATATCATTCAGTATCATGTAGTCCAGCTCAGAGGCATGAACATGTTTTAAGTGCTCAAGTACAACTATGAAATCAAGTTAGCTTACTTGATTATGATCATGACCAAGCAGTCCATATAGACCAAGGCAAAATCATACCCAGCATCATGTCAACTAATTATTGTTTACCCAAAATGTGTATGTCTGAGTAAGGATGTTAAATTGCAGTTAGTTGACTAGTCGATAGAATTTCCATTGATTACTCAACTAGTCGATAGGCACTTCTGCATTCCTCCTTCGAAATGTACAAGAAGCCCCACTGGGACTCTTAGACATTTCAAAAGAGGAATGCGGAACTCTGCATGCAGGCCAGGAGGCAGTCCCGCTGACTCCAGGCTGCACGTGGGTGTGCCTGCTTTGAAATGCACACAAGTCCTCAGTGAGGGGTTCTTGAGCATTTCAAAGCTATTGGGCCCGGAGTCAGCGGGGGGACTCAGAGTCCCCTACTGACCCCTGGCCCCATGGTGCCCTGCAAAGGCTATATCACCAGTAGATGAGACTAGAGAATGATACATTAAAAAAAAAGCTCAGGATGATGATTATCGAGGATCAGTGTTACACATGCAGGCCCGCCGATGAGAAGACCGGAGGGCAAAAGGGTAATTGCCCTGGGGCCCAGTGATTCAAAAGCAGAGTCCTGGTGCCATGCTACAGGCAGCTCTGAAGGACTAGCGGGGGGGAAACTAGGTCCCAGCCCTGCCCCTTCTGCCATCCAAGGCCCCTCCCCTTCTGGGAGTATGAAGCCTCCACCACCCCTACTTTGCCAAGGGCCCAGCAAGTCTGTCAGCTCCCTTGTAAACATGATCCTGATGCCACAAACAAGCAGCGTAGTGAGGCATTCCTAAAGAGAAAGCCAACAGAGAGATTCAGAGAAGTCTCAGTCAAACTCTCTGGGGCAGGAACTATCTTTGTTGCTAGTAGAGCCTAGCACAATGAGGCCTAGATGGGGTTCCTAAGTGCAGGGTCTTAATCTGCAGAAATCAGTAAGGGAGATCATGGGGGGTCTGAACAGGAGCTTTATCTTTCAGGACAAAGTAGGCAGAATGTTTTGGAAGAGGAAAGAACCAAGATTCACAGATGTATATTTTAGTTTGAGAACAATAAATTGTGCATTGCACAAAGCCAAATATCTTGCTGTACCTGCATCTGCTAGTGCTGGCTGGTGCATATGAGGATGGAACCTGGCCACATCTCCAACCCAGCCAGATATACTTTGAGATCTGCAGAAACAGCAGGATCCCACTGCAGCCAGGGAGTAGAAGCAGCACTAATATTCTGCTGGGAAAGAGGGAAGATTCTCTTAGCAACTGCCCATCAGCAGAGTAAGCACCATGATTTGGTGCTGAATCTGGTAGTGCTAGGGCAGGAGGAAGAGTCAGAGAAAGATCTCACTCCTCACAACTATAGTTACCTTTATTATTGATAAAAAAAACCCAACAAATAGTCTATAAAGTACTACCAGACCAACAAAACATGTAGATGGTATACCATCTATCTACATGTTTCGTTAGTCTAGAAAGTATTACCAGACCATTTGTTGTCTTTTTCTGTAATAGACTAACTCGGCTACCCCCTGAACACCTTTATTATTTATGTTTAATCAAAGCAAATCTCATCCATAAATAGCAGGGAAAATGAGACAGAAGGTCGATGAGTTAGTGGAAAGGCAACTTACAGATTCCTGCGTGGTATTTCAAAGTGCTAACACTGTGTTTGTGAGTCCTGTATGTTTGAACTTGCTCCCCAGTGTCTGCTAACCAGCACTTCACCGTCTTGTCCGCACTCCCCGAATACAAGTATCGATTCACCAGCTGAGGAAGAAACAGAAAAGAACATCGGCAGTAGCATCCTGGGCAAACTCAGAGAATTGTACTTAAGTGACTCATCCTCAGTCACATCTTCCAATTGAAAATTGGAGACAGTTCAGGAGACAAATCGCTTGATCATTGTCTTTGGTCCACCCTCTCTGGGGCACCTGGTGCTGGCCACTGTCAGCAGACAGGCTACTGGGCTAGATGGACCTTTGGTCTGACCCAGTATGGCCATTCTTATGTAAAAAAAGTAAACAGCTTTTTGAGGAAGTTTTCAGCAAAACAGTTCTCAGCACTGAAACATCATTGTCTGATCCTGTATTCTTTGCATAGCCACCTCCCCCCTCTGGGGCTTAAAAATAGTTTCCAATTTTCTAAAAAGGGAGAGATTAAGTTCCAGATCCCCTTCTGATGAAAGTGGGCACATCTCTCGAAGTTTGTGGCGCTGCATCTATTTGCGGGAGTAGAGACTTTGGACTAGTGTGTCAGTTTACAAACCCACAAGACTAAAAACAATTGGTATATATGTTACGAGATCGCTTATTTCAAATTTTAAAAAAATCCTCTAAGAACAAAGTGACAAAAAGGCAATAAAAAAAGACCAACTCAGAGGCTAATAGGATAACAACAGAGAAGGTCAATGTTTTGAAATCCCATGTTTCCTTTGTAACTGTTTTGGATATGTGTTTCCAGTATTGTTCAATGACGCAATAACATTTTTTAAAAAGCTGTTTTCAGATGAGAACCTAGAACAGTTTCATAAATTATCTTTGCAATGTAGCAATGAACACAGTGTCTATTATTATTTGTTTTATAGCAATACTACCTCGAGGCTACAGCTGAGATCAGGATTTCATTGTGCTAGTCCGGGCCGTTCCTAGGGGGAACATGGGACACTGAGCAGCAGACAACTCCCCAACAGTGCCCCAGGCCTGGGACACAAAGCAACCATCCTTTACACCTCTGCAACCTCCGACCCCACTACATCCCTAAACCTGCTCCATTACTTCGCTCAAGCTCCGCCCTTGCTCCAGCCCCCTGTCCAAAGCCCCCTCCTCCAAGCATCGCGAGCCAGGGGAATCCTATTACCTCAGGGCCTGATGAAGGGCAGTAGCAGTCCCCCCCACTCCCGCCCCAATCCCATGGCAGCAGGAGCCAGAGCAGCCTGCTCGGCTACATTCCACCAGCCTCTCCCAGCCCCCTGCGCTCCACTTTGCCGTGCTCCGCTGCCCACTGCCATGGGGGCAGCAGGCTGGGAGAGGGCCGAGGAGCAAAGCAGGCTACCAAGTCACTCCAGCTTCTACTGCCATGGTGATTGTGGGGGGAGAATGACTCCTGCCCTGCATCAGGCCCAGAGATAATCCCCAGGCCCCATCCATAAGCTGTGTGAGGCAGCCACTGCGGGGGCCCCAAAGTGCTGGGCTTGGGGCGGCTGTTCTGAACCGTCCACACATAGCAAGAGACAGTCCATGCTCTGAAGAGCTTACAGGGCAGAGGACAGGACTTGATGACTTCTCAAGGTCCCTTCCACTTCTTTCTAGTGTTCTATGATAAACTGACAAGACAGGAAGGGCAGAGTTACCTCCATCATACAGAACAGAAGCAAAGGGAGATTTAGTGGTGTGTGCAAGATCATTTAGCAAATCTGTGGCACAGCTGTGAATTAAACCCAGATTTTCTGAGTCATAGTCCAATACCTCAGCCACAAGGCCATCCTTCCTCTAATCATCCTTCCCTAATATGGAAAAGATCTCTAACATGCAGCTAAGGAAAATAAGCCAAGGCAAAACAGTCAGCATTAAAATACTAAGAGTGTAAACTCTTCAAGAGCAAGGACTCTGGGTGGGCACTTATCGGTAAAGTATCTTGCATGCAGCTGGTGCTACATAAAAAAAAATCTCTTATCAACGTTCCAGTTCAGGTGCTAGCCGAAGTAATCAATTTCAGATATCAAGTTTTTTAGGGCTGATCGGAACCATGTTAGGACTGATTTAAACACATAAATAAGAGGGGGAAACAGGAAGTGATGGGAAGAAAAAACAGGATTTGCACAAGGAATAACGGCTTCTTACTTTCCCACCAAGCACACAGATTAAGAGTCAGTCATACCCGGAAGCAGGACTTATATTTAGCTGCAGTTGACTGAAGCAGAGCTCTAGTTAATATTTTCAAACCTTGACTCCTGTCTGATGCTGTTAGGGTTCCCAGTTGGAGTCCAGGATCCTCGGGGAGGCTGCTAGCTGGTTTCAGGGGGTCCATAGAGGGCCTTTTGGCCAAGCTGCCTCCCATGAGAATGGAAGGGGGAACCTCTGGGAAATATTCTTGAAAATTTATGCCCTGTCCAGAAAATAACCCCTTGCCTGATCGAATTCACTCTGACATCAAGTGGAATATGGCAGAGAGACTGACTGCAAGATATGCACCAACGTCACTCTTAGGCCATATCCCTTTTTCTATAAAAATCACCCATTCCCTCACTATAAAGTTATTTAAAACACCTCTCCCCATGTCCAGACACACTCACATGGCTACTCCCTTCTTTGCTTGCCTCTGCATTGTGCAGATAAATTTGATTCCCTGCCTTCACAAAATCCCATTTCATGTCCCGAGTCATCTTTGCACCAGAATGGTGAAACACATCGCTACTACATGTACAGTGCTATGAGAACCGCTAAGAAAAGGTACTTTAAATGTCTATGACAGTGCTGTTCTGAACTGGACAAGAGTAAAGGCAAACTCACAAAAGAGGACTAATATGCCCTTGAAGACCCATGCACAAAGCCCACTGAATTCAAGAACAATTATGCATATGCAACTCAATACAGGCTGAACTTGGTACATAGGACCTCTTCCAAGGCCATGTCTCAGGAGCTCCTAAAACACAACTGCTCAAAAGAATAGTCTGAAATGTTATATTTCATTAAGTTTCTGATGAATGAGCAGTGGCGTTATTAGTACATCTCAAGAAGGGAAGCGAGGGAGTGATCTGCTGTATAAACACAGATTTATAGCTACACAAATAGCCTGACAGAGCTAATCTGATCCCTAACTTTAAAGCCCAACCTAAGTGGGCATGGAAAAACATTGTCGCATTCCA